AGATTACCTTTATTTTTTAAAAGATTTTATTTATTTGAGAGAGAGAGCAAGAGAGCATGAGTGAGGGGGAGGGGGAGGGGGGGAAAGCAGACCCCCCACTGGGCAGGGGGCCCAACTTGGGGCTCGATCCCAGGACCCTGGGATCACGACCGGAGCCGAAGGCAGCCACTTAACTGACTGAGCCACCTAGGTGCCCAAGTAAGATTGCTTTTAGAATATCCTTTTGCCTTAGTAATATTTACTGAAACTAGAGGAGTCAGTGCTCCCCAAATTGATACATGAATTGGATGCGGTTCTAGGCATAATCTCGTCAGGCTTTTCTGCAGACATTTACAAGCTGATTTTTCAATTTGTATGGAAGTTAAAGAGGACCTAGACTATCCAAAGGAATCTTGAAAGTAAGAACTAGCACACTTCAGTGCTGAAAGGAAATATTGATGTGTTCTTTTGGTATGGAAATTTCTTGAATTCTCTTATAAATTCAGCAGTTTAGCTTTTATACATTGGACTTGTATAAAATTGAAATATACATACATTGTACAGTGACCTATCTAAACCATGTAAGTTCGTGTTTCACATGTTGGTCAGCTAATGATGAATTTTAATTATCTTCTGCTGGTGTGTGAAGGGTCTTGGCCACAGGATGATGGTTGTATTTGTTTGCTTATCCTCTTCTCACCTCCAACAAAGCCACTCCTTATTTTGTAGGGGTCTTAACATTTTTCCTTTATGTAATTGTTTGTCATTCTTCTTACCACATCATGTCTGCCATGGGTATTATTCTTACATACTTGGGGGTATAGTGAACCTGAGTGTGCAGTGAGGAAGTTCATAATATTTATTTGTAACAAAACTTAAAAATTGTGGCCTTAAACTAGTAGAAGTTTATTTTTCCTACATAACAAAAATCTAGTGTAGGGTTAAGGAAGTGTTGTAAATCGCCTGAGCTCTCCTAGTTTTGAACTAACCCAGCATCATTAAGGATGTCTCCATGGCTGGCAAGAGATAGCAGAGCCAGTGTCAAAATGTCCTTGACAGTCTTCTCTGCCTCCAACTTTTGAACATTCCCCCAAACCCATTTCTCCATAGTCTGCCCCAACTTTGATTTAATACCCTCCTATCTAGGAGGTTTTAATATCAAATGTGTTCTGAGACCCATGAGCACAAATCTACTTCTCCACATGAGTCCTATAAATAAGACTTCCCCCCTGCCCCCACTGCCCCTGCCATGATCTGAAACTGTATTCACCTGGTTTTTTTGAATACCATCTTCCAGTTGGTCACCAAGCCCTTTTGATTAATTATTATTTATTTAGAAGTTGTTTCTGTTTCTGTTTATTCTGTATTTGATTGGAACCACCCTAATCCCAACAGCAAGACATCAATAGCAGCTACTGATTGTGATTCCTACTACAGTTTCATGTTTCATTTCAGGTATTCTTTATGATTATTTACATTTTAAATATTTCATTTCATAGGTACTTTCTAGGGGTGCCTGGATGGTTCAGTTAAGTGTCTGCCTTCGGCTCCAGACATGATCTCAGTGTCCTGGGATCGAGCCCTGCGAGTAGGGAGCCCGCTTCTCCCACTGCCGCTCCCAGTGCTTTTGCTCTCTCGCTCTCTGTCAAATAAATAAATAAAATCTAAACAAAACAAAACAAAAAACCAGGTACTTTCTATTTAGATCTTTGAGTATACCAGCCAAGAAATAGCATTGGGCATAATTTAAGGACCTTTGACAAGGGTATATATAGGGGTTAGGATAGGTTAGTTTTTACTGTTTAATTTCCTTTGAAATACAGCAGTGAATTTTGGAATCTGGTTCCTGCCGCCCCCACCCCCAACATAAGACATAAGATAGTAACTCCTTACCGTTGTTAGCAGAACTTCTTATTTATTCCTCAGATAAGCAGTTAACTAGCTGATGTAGTATCTCCTGGAAAAGATATAGTGAAGTTCTTTACTTTTATTTCCTGAGGGAGAATTGCTTTTTGGATAATTAATTAATTTTAGGTTATGTTCTTTTATTTTTCTTAAAGATTTTATTATATCGCACGTGCAAACCTGGGGCAGGCAGAGGGAGAGGGAGAAACAAACTCTGCTGAGCCGGGAGCCCGATGTGGGGCTCCATCCCAGGGTCCCAGGATCATGACCTGAGCTGAAGGCAGATGCTTAACCAACTGAGCCACCCAGATGTTCTTTTAAAAGGATATATCCCTGTTATGGGTTGAATTGTGTTCTCCTAAAATTCATATGTTGAAATTCTAACTTCCAGTACCTCAGAATGTGACCTCATTTGGACATAGGTAGGGTTTTTATGGAGTTAATCAAGTTAAAATAAGGTCATCAGGGTGGGTCCTAATCCAGTATGACTGATGTCCTTATTAAAAGGGAAATTTGGGGCACCAGGGTGGCTCAGTCATTAAGTGTCTGTTTTCAGCTCAGGTCATGATCCCAGGGTCCTGGGATCGAGCCCCACATCAGGCTCCCTGCTCAGCGGGAAGCCTGCTTCTCCCTCTCCCACTCCCCCTGCTTGTGTTCCCTCTCTTGCTGTGTCTTTCTCTGGAAAATAAATAAATAAAATCTTAAAAAATAAATAAAAGGGGAAATTTGGAGACAGATGTACACAAAGGGAGAATGCCATCTGAGCATAAAGATGGCCTTCTACAGGCAAGGAGAGGGGCCTGGAGTAGATCCTTCCCTTCACAGCCAACCCTACCTACATCTGATTTCAGATTTTTATCCTCAATTGTGAGACAGTACATTCTGTTGTTTAAGCTATTCAGTTTGTGGTCATGGCAATCCTAGGAAACTAATGCAGTTTTTTATGAAAATCCTCCATTGCCCTTAATAAGAACTCTTCTCAGATTCTGGTTGACTGTCAGTTCTTGATTTTTGGGAGGATGTGGGGGATATGTTTTTTCTAAATCTTTGTAATTATTATAGCTTCTGGAGAAGTTGAGTTAGAGATTGATGTGTTTTCTAATGATGTATTATATGCCTTTGCCATGTTATGGATGATTATTTTCACTTGTTTTAAGGGCTATGAAATGAGTTGCCCTGTCACTTGAATATCAAAATGTTCTTTCCTGTTGCATCAGAGCAGGCCCATCTCCCCAAAGCACACACACAAATTCCTGAATCTCTATATTTGCATTTTCTTTAAGCAAAACAGTATGCATTGAATATGAGTCTTCAAATATCTAGAGAAATGGTGTTCTTTTCAGATTTCACCATATTGTCTTCAATGCTGTGAGCTTATTTAATTGGGAGAAATCTTTGGGTGATATAATTTAATACTGAATGTTGTCACCATGGAAAAATGAACTCCTTCCAGATTCCCTTTTTGAGAAAGTCATTGTTGGGTTTGTTCTTCAGCCAGGAACATGCTGTACCAGATTTATTAAAATTGGTTCAGTGCTTTGTTTCTTTTTCTAATATCAAATAGAAATATGCAAAAAAAAATGGAAATAATTGTGTGGTGGTAGCATATGAAATGGTGATATATAAGGTTTTATTAATAGGCAGTGAACTTGGAATTTTTTCCAATACCTTTTACTAGTAGCAAAAAGATGAAGTTTTGGGAGACACAAACTGATGAAAGTCACGTATTCTAATAAAAAATAAAAGAAGTAATATAGATTTTTAGATTTTTTGCTTCCCATATTTTATTTCCAGTGACCTTTTTTTCTTTTTCTTTTTTTTTTTTGAGAGAGAGCAAGAATATTAAGTGCATGAGGGAGGAAATGGGCAGAGGGATGGGGAGAGAGAGAATCTTAAGCAGGCTCCGCAGCGGAGCCCAATGCAGGGCTTAATACCAGGACGCTGAGATCATGACCTGAGCTGAAATCAAGAGTGAGACGCTTACCTGCCTGAGCCACCCAGGCACCCCATTCAGTGACTATTCTTTAAAAGCGATTTTAGTTTTAGTTTTTATTTTTTTTTAAAGTGTAGGTAGTGGTATAAAGAAGAGTGTTGCTGGAACCAGCTAGCAATAAGACCATGGCTAGCAAACTAGTTTTCTTCAGAGAAAATGATTATTCCTTTAAGTGTTTCTGAAAATTTTATGGGGCAGTCTTAGCATTCTAAAGAGTCTGTAGTTAATACGTATATCATTTGTTGTCACTTAAAAATTTGGGGCAGGAAAAATCACTACAGTGACCATTTCTGATTGACCATTTGTCAAGCCTATAGGTAACCCTCTAGTGTCTCATAAGATCTGGCAGTCTTCTGTCTTCTGTGGAGCCCTCTTTGATTATTCCATTCTTCATTTCTCTCTAACTTCTCTGAACTAGTATTTAGTTTTTAGCCACATGGTTTATAACACTTAAATCTGGTTGTTTCACCGACTAGATCTTGATTTTTGTCATACGAAGGAATAATTCCTTGTATTTGTGCTTTCCTGTACTCCCATATACGCTTAAAGAGAAATCCTTTTCCCTCAAGTTTCAGAATTTACAATAAAAGACATTCATGATCTTGAGACATAATAGGTTTGTAGTAAATATAGTTGAATCAGTTTCCCACTGAACATATTCTTTTTAATGTTTAGCACACTGTGAAACAACAGTGAATTTTTCTTGGACATTGGCATCTATTACTGGTTTGGAAACCTAACAAATTTATAGACCTTACTTGTCATTGGTTAATAAGATCTTAGGTTCTGAAGCCAGGCCGCCTGGGTTTTGATTTGGGCTCCATTACTTTGCTTTTCACCTTGTGACTCTTTCTGACTCAATGTCTTTATCTGTGAAAGAGGCGTGACCATAGTACCTGCTGCATGATTTACTGTGAGAATTAACTAAGATTTTAATTAGATTTTATATATATAAAATAAGGTTTTATGTATTTTTATATATGTGTGTCATATATATAATATTTGGGAACATTTTTGGCATTCAGGAAGTTCAACTTGGATTCATAATACAAATGTATGTTTTAGAAGGAAATATTGTAATATTTGACATTATTCTTACAACATTTCCAGGTTTGAAAGCACAATGGCGGGAAACAGCCTTGTCCTACCCATTGTTCTTTGGGGTCGCAAAGCACCAACACATTGCATCTCAGCAGTACTTTTAACAGACGATGGGACCACAATTGTAACTGGATGCCATGATGGACAAATATGTCTCTGGGATCTTTCAGTAGAATTAGAAGTGAGTATTTGAAATGCCTATTGTATTTTTTAGACACAAGGAGTTTCTTAATAGAAAACAATAGTCCCAGAATAATACTTGGCCTCATATTTTCTGTGAAATATGTTTTGACTCAAATTGCTATTATGCAGGTTGATAATTTGTATTATTCATCAGAATTGACTTCTGCTGGTTATTGGCTATTTGCAGTTGTTGTATCTGCCCTAAGTGGCTTAGTATGTTACATTTAAGATTTTTCAAAAGATGTTTATCCATACTGAAGCGAGTTTTGAAAAAGGTATTAAAAAATAGTTTTGAACATTTATACCTTCTAAGGTGAATGTCTTGAAGAGAGCAAAACCTTTTTTATAAGGCATAAATTTGATTATATTTATGGCCATTCTTTCCTACTGTGGAGTGGTCAGTGTGTTGTGCTCCTAGGCCTTCACAGTGGACAGACTAGGGAAATAGGAGTTGGGAACATATGCTCACACACACACACACACACACACAGGTATCACACTAATACCTCCAATTCTAGTATAACACCTCAGGATTTATTCTCCTTTTCCCCCCATTTTTTAATCTCCCTCTCTGGCAATTTTCCCCAGGGATTTTTCTGTAAAGTGTAATGGAGAAAATGGGGTGGTAGCTGGCATGGAATATAGGGCAAGCAAGTTGATTTTTTAAGTAATTTTTCTTGTTTTTGTTACAGCCTTATTGAGATCAAATTCGCATACCATACAATTGACTCATTTAAAGAAATTGTGTTATATATATGTGTATATATATATATACACACACACATACACAATGGAATATTATTCAACAATAAAAAAGAATGAAATCATGCCATTTGGGACATGGATGGACCTCAAAGGGCATCATGCTAAGTGAAATAAGTCAGACAGAGAAAGACAAACACTGTATGATCTCTCTTATATGTGGAATCTAAAAAATATATATTTTTAAAATGAAGCTCATTGTGAGCAGATTGGTGGTTGCCAGGGGTGGGGATGGGAGAAATGGGTGAACTGTTTTTGTTTTTAGTTTAAATAAATTGAATTTAAAAAATAAAAAGTGTACATTACCACAGTCAATTTTATAACATTTTCATTACCTAAGAAACACCCTGTACTCTTTAGCTGTCATTCCCAATATCCCCATTTCCTCCCAAGGCAACCACTAATCTGTTTTCTATCTCTTTATAATGTGCAATATATGTAAGGATGTTAATTTGATATGATAAATATCCCATATCCCAGATATAAACTCCTCTATAGGTTTGGCTGTTCTGGGCATTTCATGTGCGTGGACTGATATGTGGGTTTTTTGTGACTGGCTTTTTTCACTTACCATAATATTTTCAAAGTTCATTTGTATTGTAGCATATATCAATACTTCATTTTTTTTAAAATGGCCAAATAATAGTCCATTGTATGAATATACTAAATTTAATATATCAGTTAATGGGCATTTGGGTTTTGTGTGCACTTTGGCCATACGGAATAATGCTGCTCTGCATATTTGTGTATGAGTTTTTGTGTGGACATATGTGTGTTACTCTTAGGTATACACCTAGACATGGTACAGCTAGAACTGGAAAAATGTACACATTGAATGACATGTAAAGGCTAGGTATACATGTTGAAAAGTAGCTGGGAAGTATCAAAATGTATATGCCTTCAGGATTGATAGCGACCTAAATATGAATCATCAGTGTAGTTGTGAAGAGAAAAAATACCACACCATATTTTACTGGAATGATTACAAGCAATGAGACTCACTTATGAGAGCTTAGAAACAATTCTTTCACTAATTTTGTCACATAGATTTTACTAGAGTGTTATGTTTATTTAAGTTCAAGTAAGAGGGATAAAAGTGATGGGGGGAGTGAGAAGTGTTGGGGGATGGGAGTGGAGCTAGGAGAGAAATAGATCTTTTGAAAGATATTGAGGAATTGGACTGTTTATCCAGGGGAAAAGAAAACTAAATAAAAGTTGGCTGGGTTTATTGTCTCTGATAAATGTGGTCATTCAGAGCAATTTCTTAAAGCCATCTTTTTTTTCTTTAAACGCTAGAGAACTATTTAATGAATTGAATACATTTCTGTTCATTAAAGAAACGTTGATTTATGAAAATATTAAACTTTTCTATTTTTAGCTAACTTTTTACTTAATGAAGATAGTCAGAGATATAGTTTCATTTACACTTTTGTTTGTTTGTTTGTTTTGTTTTTTGCTTTCCTCCGACAGTGGGTGGCAGAGCCATATATTCTAGTTTTATTTTACAAATGTTCATTGTCAGTATTTAGAAATACCATTGCTTTTTGGTATTTTGACTTGTGTACTGTGACTGTGTTACTCTCTTTTGGTTCCAGTAGTCTTTTTCTAGATTTTTCTAGATTTCTCCTTGTTCAAGGGTCAACCGTATTTTATTCTTTTTGATTCTATTGTAAATATGATTACTTTCTTAATTTCTCCTTTAGCTATTTTGTTGTTAGTGTATAGAAGTACGACTGATTTTTGTATGTTTATTTTGTATCCTGCAGCTTTACTCAATTTGTTGATTAGTTCTAGCAGTCTTTTGGTAGAGTCTAGGATATATAGGATCATGTCATCTGCAAACAGAAAATTTTACTTCTTTCTTTGTGATTTGCATGCCTTTTATTTATTTTTCTTGCCTAATTGCTCTGGCTTAGACTTTCAGTACTATGTTGAGTAGCAGTAGCAAAAGTGAGTATTCTTGTCTTGTTCCTTCACTGTCGAGTATGATGTTAGCTGTGAGCTGTCATTTATAGCCTTTATAAAGTTGAGGTACATTCCTTCTATATTCATTTTGATGAGAGTTTTTAATTATGAAAGGATATTGAATTTTGTCAAAAGGTTTATTGCCTCTATTAAGGTGATCATGTGAAGTTTATACTTCATTCAAAAATTTTTATTTTTTAGATTATGGTGGGAGTAAAGTCTAGTTCTAGTTACTTGTAATGGCTGAAAGTGGAATTTTCCGACAAAGCCATGTATCTTTGAAATAAAACTATTGGTAAAGTTGATTTTCTTGGGAGAAATTAAATAATTGACCAATAGCATAATTTTTAGTGGAAGACTACTGAATCTCTATATGGAGGTGGGGTTGGATGTATGAGAAAATTTTGGCAGTATGGGAAAACTTTCTAGGCCCATTCTAACTATAAACAATGGTTGATTCTTAAATAATTAAAATAGAAATTTTGCGTTTGAAGAAAAAAATGCATATTATAACTAAGCAAAAAAAGAAATTTTCTCTTAATTGTAATTATTTTTTTTAAAGATTTTTATTTATTTATTTGACACAGAGAGACAGCGAGAGAGGGAACACAAGCATGGGGAGTGGGAGAAAGCAGGCTTTCCGCTGAGCAGGGAGCCCGATGTGGGGCTCGATTCCAGGACCCTGGGATCATGACCTGAACCGAAGGCAGATGTGTTAACGACTGAGCCACCCAGGCACCCCTCTTAATTGTAATTATACAAAAGATAACTAGAATTTTATTTGGAAAATCTCTTCAGTTGTTACATACCAGAACTGTAGAACAATATCAGTACTCTTCCCGTGGAATATTTAATTTTGAACAATTTAGCTTTACTAATAAGTTGGGATAAATTGTTTGCAAAATGGATACCAGGACGGGTACAAAGGGACTTCGTTATATTCTGTTCTTTTTTTTTTTTTTTTAAGATTTTATTTATTTATTTGAGAGAGAGGGGAGAGAATGAGAGAAAGAGCACAACTGGGGGAACAGCAGAGGGAGAGGGAGAAGCAGACTCCCCACTGAGCAGGGAGCCCGACGTGGGGCTTGATCCCAGGACCCTGGGATCATGACCTGAGCCAAAGGCAGATGCTTAACTGACTGAGCCACCCAGGAGTCCCTATATTCTGTTCTTTTAACTGGGTATTGAGTATGTGGTTACTCAATGTATTCTTTATATCTTATATGTATATTATAAATGTTATTTGTATGTATTAAATATTTAATTGAAAAATATATCCTGAAATAACCTAAGGCCCTGAAGTAACCTGAAGTAATAACATGCCATTTGGTACAAAGTAGATAAATTTGGGGGCTGATTGCCAGACTATTTTATTTATTTATTTATTTAAAGATTTTATTTATTTATTTGACAGAGAGAGACACAGCAAGAGAGGGAACACAAGCAGGGGGAGTGGGAGAGGGAGAAGCAGGCTTCCTGCGGAGCAGGGAGCCCCATGTGGGGTTCGATCCCAGGACCCTGGGACCTTGACCTGAGCCGAAGGCAGATGCCCAACAACTTGAGCCACCCAGGCGCCCTCTAATAGCCAGGATATTTTAGAATAGTGGGTATTAAGCCTTTCTTTCTATAAGGCACTGTGTCACTAAATCATTGGTCTGTGAAGGTCATTCTTTGTTCCTGATAGTTAATGTTGCTATCAGCATTTGGGAGGGTGCCTGTCCTCTATTTTATTGAGTTTTGAGTGTGTTAATCTAGAGACTCTAAATATGTTTTCAGGTCACTGAGCATATTATTTAAGAAATGAGTGGGGTTAAATTATTTTATTACTAACTCACATTCTTCATCTGATTCTTCAGTACACTGTGGCTTAGTGCTTAAGACTGCCCTCGTTTGACCTCTAGCTCTGTCGCTCTCTGTGTGTGTTGGGCAAACAGTGTTATCTGTTGGTGTTCCAGTTTTGACTTAAGAACTACCTGGTGGGGTGATTATGAGCATTAAGTTGGTGGGGGGGTCACTGTTGTGTTACTCTCAATTCTTCTCAAATCTGTATTTGTATATTTATATTGAATATTTAACAGGATTCCTAAAAATTAATTTTTAAAAATTTGGTACTTATATCAACGTATTTGTGTATTTCTAGGTTAATCCTCGAGCACTGTTGTTTGGTCACACAGCCTCAATCACCTGTTTGTCTAAAGCTTGTGCTTCTAGTGACAAACAGTATATTGTGAGTGCATCTGAAAGTGGGCAAGTATTTTCTTATTCACTTTTTTCCTCATAAGTCTTTATTGCAAATAGTACCAGTGTATGAGTGAGTAAGGAATTTTTTTTTCTTTTTGAAGTATCTTTTAAATAAATGCTTCAGTTGTTTGAACTTAAAGATATTTGGAATATGGTTTTATAAATGTGAATTTTATCTTTATTAATGATTTTTGTGATACTTTTATCATAATTTATGATTATGTTTTTGCCTTGCTTTTGAGAAACTCAGAATACCTTATAAGTTAAAGTTTGATCACTAATCCCCATGGTATTTTTATTGAGGTGGCAGACAACTGAATGATGACTAGGCTAGCATAAGTTTGGAAGATGAAGCCATGCAAAGGTCATATGGTTGTATTCATATATGTTAATACACTAATGTAATTATATATTCCTGAGTCTTAGAATATAACTTGTTTTTAGAGAGAGAGAAATCATTAGCTATAGTCATAGGGTTCAGAGTGAGGAGTTTTTAAACTTTTCTGCTGCTTAGAAAACTATATAGATAATATGTTATTGAAGGGAATTGGGGACCTAGAAGAGAATTGTTTAAAAAGTTGTTTCCTCCCATTAACCCCTCATAATTTATGAACTTGAAAAGAACCTTATGTAACTGTAACAAGAAGAGGCAGCATCAGGTAAAAAATACAGTCCCTCTTGGTCAATTAAAGGATAATTCATATTAGCATGCAAATAAGATTGAACATCCTTTGAAAAATTGTTTCATACCATGTGAGATATAAGAAGGGGTATCTTGAAGAAAGCCCTGAGAATATTGGCATCACTGCATTTTATTAATGCTGTGTTCTGTTAAATAAAGCTTATTTCTTCAAAAGATAAAGACATATTGATATTTCTAATTTGGAATGCCATATCTTTAGTTTGAGATGGAAGCTTTTTTATGCACTTGATAAAACATATGCAATAAATACTGAATCAAAATTGGAATATTAAATTTCATTCGCAAAGGTTTGGAATTAAGTTGGTTTTAATTTTTGTTTTGTGTTATGCTAAATTTTCTAGCTATGCTGATAATTAATGGAAAATCCCGGTGGTTTAAATTAAAAGTTTATTTCTTGTTTTTGTCACTTGACCCTGGTATATCATTTGGGGCTCTGCTTCACTATCGTCCTGACTTTGAGGTTGAGGGTGAAAGGAGCAGCCACTGACAGAAGCAGCCACTGTCTGGAATGGAGGCAGAGGAGAAAGAAAGTTCTTGAGGCCCTTGTATCACTTGTGGCCAGAACTACTCACAAGACTTTACCAACCGAGAGGGAGCCAGGAAGTGCAGTCCTACCATGTGCTCAGAAAGAATGTGGATCTAGGTGGGGGTGGGGAGGCTGGAGGGGAGGTTGGGATGCTGAATGAGGAAGAGAATTTTTCACAGACAGCAACAATGATTATACACTACTTTTCCCTGAAATATATCAGTTTTAATGAAAGATTAATTTTAAAGCACCGTGACAGAGTTTGACAGTACTTTTAAATATCAGATTTAAAGTTAGCTATTACTTTTGTTTTATAGAGAGATGTGTCTCTGGGATGTGAATGATGGCAGATGTATTGAGTTTACAAAATTAGCCTGCACACATACAGGTATACAGGTTAGTATCTATTTCCGTAACGGTTCAAGTCAGCACAACTTATTACAGGTATACAATTAAGTGTTTTTTAAACATTGAGCCTAAATTTTTATATGAAAAATGGGTGGAGATGAGTAACAGGACAAGAAGACTACAATTGGGATAGTAAAAGTATTCCTCATCAGATGGTATAGTGGGGGATGTATTAAGTAGAGGGGACTAATGGGGAAAGGTGGAGGGTAAGCCAGTTACCACTGCCACTTCTGCTCTTTCTGGCCATCCTGATTACCCAAGTGAGAGCCCCTTTACAAGTTGGGTCATTCCTCTAGATCCTAAATAATGAATTCTCTCATGCTAAAGCCTTTATGATTCCATTCATGCTTGACAAAAATTGACCCACTTTACAGATCATGTCCTGTTTATTACTTTGCAGTTGGTCCTTGGGTACCTTTTTTTGACTTTCTAACTGTTGAAGAAATGACTATTTCATATTTCTGCCTTATACAAGAATTTACATACGAATTTATAGTTTCTGACGTCTATTCCTGGTATTCTTTCATATTCTTTCATAATTGTCAAGTTTTTTGTGCTTCAGTTTATGCATCATTTACTCTGTTGAATATTGGGAAAATCACAAGTCCATTGAAAATATGATTTATGTTCTCAATGGGGCAGGAGAGGGAAGAGAAGAGAACTAACTTTTACTGAGCACATATTATATAGGCATTTCTTTTATGGTGTTTCATTTAGTCCTCCCCACATCATTACAAATGAGATAGAAGTATACTATTTTACACAGAAGGAAGCTGAGACCCAGAGTGATTAAATGACTTGTCCCAGTCTCACAGTGAGTCATTCCTGGCGCCAGGATCCCAAATCAGGTTCATCTTTCTATTCTTTCAGTTACATCATACTGCCTCCCTCAAACAAATACAGTCATTTATTGGGAAAGAAAACTTGTGCCAACACAAAATAGAAAAGCAATGGAAAATGTTTCAGGGTGAGATGGTGGTTTGTGTAATAAAGTCTTTTTTTTTTTTTACTGTTTCTTACCCTCGCAAAGGCCTTTTAAAAATTGCTTCTTCAGTGTTGTTAGAGTGTATGCTTTTTATTTAAGGGGCATATGTTCCTTATTTTTTATCATATGAATCATCAAGGTTTATGGAGAGAAAATGGATAATAAATGATAATATAATTAGTGACTTTATAGATAATTTATTTAATGTCTTGAACTCATTGGATATAAACATTTTGACTGTTATATAGTTCCATGATTTAAAAACTTTTGGTTTACATTTTAGGAAAAATTCTCTTTGTTTGTTCAATATATTTTTAGTGCCCATTCTTTCTCAGATCCTGTAATAGGTCCTGCATTTAACTTGGCAGCTGTCTCTAAGTAGAAGATGCTCTTTGACAGGTTCACTAGTGTGGGACAGTTGTTTCCTGTGTGATCTTCACTCTCTCAGGTCCAAGAGCAAGTTGTTTTTATAAGCAGAAATGGTAAACCTTGGTGACACTGGCACTTACTGAAATCACAAGGAGATGCCAACTTATTAAATTATCACAGGGGAGATCCCTTTTTAATATTTGGAAAAAATTGTTCAGGATACTTTTTTTTGCTAGTATGAAAATGTCTAGGGAGCTAAATTTAGTGGTCAGAAGATTATTTGGGAGCATAACTTTAAAGCAAAAGGTGGGAGGCATTTATCAGGCAAGGCTAGTAAAATATCCTTGCCCCCAGGAGAGAGTTCTTCACTGACTGCAGTGCATGTGTCTCTCTGGGCTGGTGTCGGGTGGGTACTGACAGAGTTTGCTTCTCTGCACACATCTTCTCCTCCTCGACCCTCTTCTCCTTAGATGGGTCAGGGTTGTCTATGGTCACGTTATCATATGAGAGTGCCTGGTAGTCCCTGGAACCTCCAGGTTGTGTGTCCTGTTTTTTGGATCAACCTTCTAAGATCTAGAGATGCCCTCTGTGGTTGTCTGTGTTTTATTAGACCCCCCTCTTGGGGTCTTAGTGGTGCTACCTTGCCCTTAGTTAATGTGCTCGGTGATCAGTATTTATGTTTAAGAAGTTGTAATCCTTCTTATCAGGGTACCCCATAGTTGAGAGAAGATTGTATTCCTTCACATGCAATGTTGAGCCTTAGAACAGGACTGATGAGTGTGGGAGCAGATTGGACCAAGGTTCCTTAGTTATTTCCCCAGTTGTGGAGTGGTTACAGCATTGCCCTTTGTGCTCAGTCTAGCTTGCCATCACGTGATTCGTGTAAGGTCCAATCCTTTGGGAACTAGTAGTCTGGTTGTTAGATGTCTTCACCTTCTAGTAATCCTCTAGGAGAATCATTCCACTTGGAGAGTCACTTTTTTTTTTAAGCTAGCGGGAGACAGGTCAGTTGAGAAGTTGTTAGTCTTGTTTTGATAGTTATTCTTCCTCTGCTCTTTGGATGATGGAAACCCATCTTTTCCTTTTGAGTTATTCTTGGGATGAGTAACATGTAGATCATGATTGTGTTGGTTCTTCCTCTCTTTTTCTTCCACAAAGTATAAATATGCATTATGAGGATGATTTACATGGTTGTCTCATACTTTAGTCTGAAATAACACACTTAGGTTAATCAGAATTTACTGCTGATTATAACATGTTTGAACAGCAGTCATCTTCTAAATTTTATTTGGTCATAACTAGTAATTATAAGCCTATACCCACCTATTCCCATTCATCTAAAATCCATATTTTTGCTTTGCTTTGTGAAAAGATTCCTTTTGCTTTGATTTGTGAAGCTGATATTATTGAGGTGTTTTATGAATTCATTCAACAATCCTGTTTTAGATGCTATAGGAGGATTAAAAATGAAGAATTACTGTGACTTCTCCAAAATAATTCAAAAGGGAGGATGTTAGGAAAAGAATAATTTTTGTTAGATATTTTGAAATATTAATGTAATTTGATGGATGTGTGTATATATACATAGACACCTATAATAGGTACCATATAGTACCTGTCTGGAAATATTACTGGAGAAATTGAGTGCCATAATAAGCTTGATGAGTGCTTGCGAATCAAGTCTCAGAAGTAAAGGAGAACATTTAAAACTCTTTTTTCCTTTTAGTTCTACCAGTTTTCTGTTGGAAATCAGAGAGAAGGAAGGCTTTTATGCCATGGCCACTATCCTGAAATCCTCGTTGTGGATGCCACCAGCCTTGAGGTGTTATACTCCTTAGTATCAAAGATCTCTCCAGACTGGATTAGCTCCATGAGTATTATCCGATCCCACCGAACACAAGGTCAGTGTGTGGTGCCCTTTAGGGACTTTGGCACCCTGACATGATGGATAGTTTAACTGTAGAGTTCTGTATCATATATGGTATATTTCATAAGCATAAAACATAGGTAAGAAGTTTGAGGGAAGTAATGGGGGCATCTGTGGTTGGCAAAGTTGGTGGGGGTCAGATCAAGAAGGGCCTTGTGTGCTAGCTAGGGAATTTGAGTTTCGTCCTGTAGATCAGGGGTTGGTAGACTTGTACTATAAGGGACCACATACTAAATAGTCTAGGTTTTGCAGTCCACGTGATCTGTGTTTCAACTACTATGTTCTGCCAATGTAGCACAAAAGCACATAGTATGGAAGTGAATGAGCCTGTGTTCTAATAAAATGTTATTTACAAAAAACTGCCGGTGGGCTGGATTTGATCCATGAGCTGTGGCTTTCTAGCCCTTGCTATAGATGTTGGATGGTCTCTGGTAAGAATCCTTGAAGAGACTTATGTTTTATTTTATTCTTTTAAAGATTTTATTTATTTGTGAGAGAGAGAGAGAGCGACCATGGCCGGTGGTGGGGGGGGCGGTGTGAGCAGAGGGAGAGGGAGAAGCAGACTCCCCACTGAGCAGGGAGCCCGATGCAGGGGCTCCATTCCAGGACCCTGGGATTATGACCTGAGCCGAAGGCAGACGCTCAACCAACTGAGCCACCCAGGCACCCTGGGACTTGGTTTTAAGCATCACTTTGGTGGCATTGTTGAGAATGGTTTAGATGGGAGATGATTTTAATACCCCACCCGAGAGTGGTGCAGGTCTGAGGTCCAGCAGTGGTTGTGGAAACGGTGGGTTTGCAGCACTTCCCAAGGGCTCATCTGCAGAGTATTGGTTCTGAAGTTTGTTAATAGGTATTAGTGAAAAAGGAGGGTTCTGTGGTCAAATATAGTTGGGAGATGTTCAGTGAAATAAAATTGAACGGACTTCTTTAATCTGGGACCTTCTTAAATAGAGGCTTTTTAATGCCTATTAGAGAATTACTGCTTTATTCAAGAGCATAGCAGTGAAAAAGAGATTCCACTTCATTTTCCAGGCAATGGGGAACTCATTATTAGCATGTTCACCTGTAATCTTAGTTATAGTCAACGTTTTCTTTAAAAAAGGACTATATTTTTGATAAGCAGTTTGTACGTTTTGAATTTTTACAGTATTTCCATATGAGATACACATGTACTCTTATCAGAATAGGATAGAATGTCACTGATGAAAACTTCTGTGCATGCAATTCTAAATGTTATCAGTTTATAATCTTACAAGCATATGTAATTTTTAATCTGCATTTACCGTATTCTAGTCTTTGGATATTTGAGAATTTTAGCTATATTGGTATGTTCCACTTTTACTATAAATTGACAGATTTGTGAGTTGTTAGTGTCTCCATACAGGCTCATGACTTGTAATCTCTGCGTTCCAGTGCCTTACATTGTCTGGAGAATTCTGTAATACGAGTTTTTATTTAAGGACAGCAAATGGTTCTTTTTAATAATAGTAATAACCCATCTTGATTGACATGCTGAGTGCTATACCTGTTTTTTGTTTGTTTTTTTAAGATTTTATTTATTTGAGAGAGAGAGTGAGAGAGAGCATGAGAAGGGAGAGGGTCAGAGGGAGAAGCAGACTCCCGCCGAGCAGGGAGCCTGATGTGGGACTCAATCCCGGGACTCCGGGACCATGACCTGAGGCAAAGGCAGTTGCCCAACCACTGAGCCACCCAGACGTCCCCTGTGCTGTGTCTTGATTCTCATAGCAACCCATTAAGCTGGGTGCCATTGTTACTCATTTGTATTTGCTTACAGATAAGCAAGTTGAATTTAAGACAGGTTAGTTAAGTTATTCACAGTTCATCAGTTAGTTAGTGAAGAGAATGAGATTTCCACATGTATCTCCCTCACTCTGGAGCCCGCATGAGACTGCTCCCAGTGTCTCTGCTCTCAGAGTTTCTTGTATGTTACCATGGCGCTGTGACTGCTTCCTTACCTGCAGCCTATGCATTTCCTTTTTAGATCATGTCTTCTCTTGATCACAGTCTATAGAGGGTGTAATGTACCATAAAATGTCTAGAAGGCAGGCAAAGTAGGTGGGACATTGCGGAAATGAGTGTCTTCGAGAAAAAAAGTGAGTGTGCTCACCCATGATAAATAATTAAAAGTTGTGAATTTTGAAGAATAAAAATTCTTTTTTAAATCATCAAGTAATAATGGTGATCAGGAACATTTGAAATTATTAAAAATCGGTTGATTAGAAATAAAAACAGTCAAGTAGCTGCAAACAACTTTTCCTTGAGTTTCAAATTTGTGGTCTATTATGTTTCAAAATCTGGCTTTTGTTACCTCATGAAATATAGAATTATGCTTTTATGCCAATTGAGAAGAATTATTACTTAATTTCATTAATGCAAACCATGTTACTATTTAGAAAGAAAGTGTATTATGTTTGTAACCTTGGCTTCTTGGTCCCTCTCGACTTAGAGGACACTGTGGTTGCACTCTCAGTGACGGGCATCTTGAAGGTGTGGATTGTTACCTCTGAAATAAGTGGCATGCAGGTGAGACAAATGTTCTGTTCTTACAGAGTCTTCAATTTTAGCGATGATAGGCCCCCTCCCTTTTTTTCCTAATGGGCCAGGAGAAAGCTATTCTTTTTCAAGAGCCTTATTGACATAGTATTAGAACATCCCCTAGTATGCTGTCTCTGTAAGTGTATTATTTTTCACTTTTGATGGCAGGCATCTGCTCTGTCAAGGATATGAAATAGAGAAACATACTGTACAGGATATAAAGTAGAGAAACACAGAAGAGCTGGGATTTTCCTCAGTTGCCTCTATTAAAGTTAAAAGATAGTTTACTTGAGGGAAAAAAATAAAGCAAACCAACACAAAAAGTATATAAAGCCAATTTTAGTTCTCTGTTCTTTGGGCTTGAATTCCTTGTAATTCTGTCAATAAGGAACGGCAGATCAGTATTTTAAGTATTGATGCTAATCTCTTCAGCTAGTCAATTTTTACACACTGTATTTGGGGGAGGACCTGGAGGAATTGATCTTTTTTTTTTTTTTAACCTAGAAGGACATATAGATACAGAATTTAGGATTGACTCAAACTTTTATCATCTGTTATTGCCACAATGTTGACACTCTGATTCTTATCAGCATTTCATTCTTGAGTAGCTTTGTAGCAAAGACATTGTGCCCGGATGTGTTTGGAGTGTAGTTTTGCTGCTTTTTATTACCTTGGTTCTCACATGAGAGGCTAAAATGATGAATATATCAAGTGATGTCTTTCTTCCATTTTCTTTATTTTTATCACTGTATGATAATTTTAATCAACAACCAAACCATTCCTAACGTTTTACGTATCTTTCTCTTTTCAGGATACTGAGCCAATATTTGAGGAGGAATCCAAACCGATTTATTGTCAGAATTGCCAAAGCATTTCTTTTTGTGCATTCACACAAAGCTCACTTTTGGTTGTGTGCTCCAAGTATTGGAGGGTAAGATAACTACTAAGTAAGAAGCTATATTTTTACCCTTGAAGGTGTTGGTTTATCAGACTTCAAAGATAATTATAAGGAAGAGCTTGGTGCAAGAATATTTTAACCCTTTGGAATTCTTATGTGATTTTGATATCAAATTTGTAGGTGTTGGGATTTAGTTACATATCGTTAACCTTTTTTGTTCTGGGCTATAGAATGATTCAGTTAATGATTATTATCCCATTGATCTTAATGTCTACCTTTTGCTACTGTTTCAGTCATTATTTCCTCAGTACAACATAAGCAGTGGTGTTGAATTTTCTACAGGTTGACCTATCTTTGTAGTTTGTTGTTATTCCCAATTGCCATTCTGTTCTGACTTCTTGGATTTGGGAAGGTCTTCCTACATCACTTGAGAGCTAATGACCGAAGGATTATATTACTTCGACATTGCCAGACTTCAGTATTTCTATAATAGAAAAAGGACCAGCATGTTTTGACCACTTGTGGGCTAGCATATTTTTCAAAGCTTTCCATGTATTATTTCTTTTAATCCTCACAACTCTTTGAGGGGAGGTGTATCAGTTACATAATCCTGCATAACAGATTACTCCAAACTTTAGCAGGTTTTTAAAACAATAAACGTGTATCAGTCCCCCTCTGGTTCATGTGTCACAATCTCTGCTGTGGGTCGGGAATGCGAGCACAGCTTAGCTGGGTGCCTCTGGCTCAGGGTCTCCACAGGCTACAGTCAAGGTGTGAGCCAGGGCCACAGTCTCCTGGTAGGAGTCACCTAGGGTGGGTCTGCTTGCAAGCTTAACTCACTTGGTGGTTGGCAGGCTTTACATCCAGCTGACTGTTGGCTGGACACATTAGTTCCTTGCCATCTGGGCCTCGCACAGCCTGGGAACTGTCTTCTTTCAGAGTAGTAAGCAAGCAAGAGAAGTTGTAGCCATGATCCACCTAATCTTGGGACTGCAGTCTGATCACTTCTCCCACAGTCCGTTGTCTAGAAACGTCACAAAATCCCACACTCGGGAGAGGATTACAGAAGGGTATGAATACCAGGTCGGGGCAGTTGTAGAGGCTGCCGGCTACAGCAGGAACTGTTACTTTCCTCATTTTGCAGATGAAGCACCTGAGGCAGAGGGAACACACAAAACTCGACTCGGGTTATACAGGTGGTTGTGGCGGTGCTGGGCTACGGCTCCGGCAGCCTGACTGCAGCACCTGCCCTCCTCACTGCCGTGGGATTCTGCCTCAGAGGGCACGGGCTTTGCAGTGACAGGCCCGACTGGCGCAGGAGGCGACACCTTAACCTTATCCTTCCCACTGCTACTGTTTGGGAATAAGACTAGAGAGGAGAAGCTAGCAGCTGCTGTTACAGTGAGCTACATGGGATCCTTCCTTTGTCTTAAAATTTATAGCACATGCAAATAGTAATAAAATCAGGGAGCAAGAGGACACAGTGAAAAGTACGCATCCTTTTTCCTGCTACTTCTCCTTCCCCTCCCCAGGGGCAGCATCTAATACCAGTTTCTTGTGTGTTCATAATAAGCATTTTAAAAACATTGAGAACAGAACAAAAAGACAATCCAATAGGAAAAGGGACAAAAATGTTTCATAAAAGAAAGCCTGTGGCTAATAAATGCATAGAAAGGTGCTCAGCTTCGTTAATCATCAGGGAAATGCATAGTGTTTTTTTTATTTATTTATTTATTTATTTATTTATTTAAGATTATTTATTGACAGAGAGAGACACAGCGAGAGAGGGAACACAAGCAGGGGGAGTGGGAGAGGGAGAAGCAGGCTTCCCGTGGAGCAGGGAGCCCGACGCGGGGCTCGATCGCAGGACCCTGGGACCATGACTTGAGCTGAAGGCAGACGCTTAATGACTGAGCCACCCAGGCGCCCCAGAGAAATGCATAGTAAAACAACACTAAGATAGTAGTACTAACTGAATAGAATGACTTTTCCAAATACTTATTGCCAAAAAGAAGTTTTCTATTTTAAGTGGTTAGATTATCATCTTTTATGGGTTCTAACAGTTTGTTAGATGATCTAAAGGGCTCATCACAAGCTGAGATTCCTAATATTTGTACAATTTTACTTTATATACCTTCGAATATTTAATCTGGAATTTATTTTGTATAAATTGCAAGGTGTAGATCCAATTTTATCTTTATTCCAGGTGGACCCCCAGTTCCTGCTGCCATTTGTTGAATAATTCACTTTTCTATTGTTGTGCCTTTATAATATATTCTATTCCTGTAATTACTGGAATCTGTTTCTGGACTTGTTGATTTTTCTGTTTATGCATCAGTACTGTATTGTTTTATTTCCTGTAAGCTTTATAATTTGTTTCCATAGATAATAAGGCTGGAGGGTGGTCTCCATTCTTTCTTAGACTTGTCTTGGCTATTCTTGTAGTGTTAATGTAATAAATGGTAAATATAGCAAATCATGGTAAATTTGGCTGGGATTTGTTTTAATTTTGAAAAGGCTCTTGTATAAGCAGTTTGATTGCTTTTTATTTAAAGAAAATAAAATAAAAATTCTGAGCCAATTGAATTTTTTAGCATTGTAGAATGTACTTTTACCAATTATTAAGAGTGGTAGAAAAATTCTTCTAGGAATTATGAGATCAGGGTTTTTAGTCCTAGCTTTAGCACTTACTGGACATGTGACCTTGAGCTGGTGATGTAACCCTTATTTATGTCAGTTTGCCATCTGTAAAATGGGATAGCAATTAATCCTGCAGTCCTTCTCAGGTCATGTGAGATAATGATGTGAAGGGACTTTGTAAACTTTGATGTGCCTTACAGGTACAAAGCTCCAGATAGCCTGTGTTGCTGATGAAATTTTAGGGACTTGACTTTTGGGGGGGGGTGTGGGGGACTTTTATACGTGAGAATTATTAAATAATAAAACTGAGTCTTTTAACTTTCTATTTACGGTACTTCAGTCCCTGAATGAAATAAAGTAAGGTCATTCCCATATTAATAAAGAGATATTCTGATGTCTGAGTTTGTTAGAAATACTGTTACTGAACATAGAAATAAAACAGGAGTCATAACCATGCATTCTAGAGGCTGGTTCCCTACGACTTGGAATTCCTTGATGGAACATTCCTCCCTTTAGATAAAAAAGACTAAGGATTCCCTATCCCTATGTAAGGCAGCACGTCTGCTCCACTTGTCATATGCCTGTCCGCTGAGAGGCACACAGCTGGGGACCTAGTTGTGTTTTCCCTGGTGAAGGTGACTGAGCCCTAGGGCTCTCTGACACAATGTCTTTAACTTGAGGTAGTGAATTTTAAAGGCCTGAGCTTGGTAAATATATTTCCAGAAGTTTTGTTTTGTTTTTAGTCTTTTTTTTTTTTTTTTAAGATTTTATTTATTAGAGAGAGAGAGAGAGCACGAGCAGGGGGGAGAGGGAGAAGCAGGCTCCCCACTGAGCAGGGAGCCCGATGCGGGATTCGATCCCAGGACCCTGGGATCATGACCTGAGCCGAAGGCAGACACATAACTGACTGAGCCACCCAGGTGCCCCTTGTTTTTAGTTTAAATGTCACTGTATCTTACTTAAATGACACCAACATGGATTAGATTGCGAATTTCTTGTTCCTTGTAGGTTTTTGATGCTGGAGACTATTCCTTGCTGTGTTCAGGTCCTAGTGAAAATGGACAGACGTGGACTGGAGGTGACTTTGTATCAGCAGATAAAGTAATCATTTGGACTGAAAATGGGCAAAGTTATATTTACAAACTACCTGCCAGGTATTCAATCAATAATAAGTTAGGACTTTAATCAAAGCAAAAGAGTCTGAATTCAGGGTATAACTTGAATGTATGAAAATGTTTAAAGTATAAATGATTTTAGGTAAAAAACTTCAAAACTTCTTAAGTTAGATTTATAATCCCAGTTTAACTTCTAAGTACAAAAATTAGGCGGGTCCTTATTTGAAGTAGGGTATTTTAATGACAATTTAATGCCTACATTAAATTAACTGTAATTTGAAAATTCATATTTTGTCCATTGTCCAAAAATCCTCCTCATATGGTATGATAAAATATTTAATGCCAGTATTTTAATTGAATGTTATATTTTTCTCATTTTCAGTTGCCTTCCAGCTAGTGATTCATTCCGCAGTGATGTGGGGAAAGCAGTTGAAAATTTAATTCCTCCTGTACAACATAGTCTCTTGGATCGAACAGATAAAGAGGTAAAATTCTTCAGGTATCATTTATAATTGATAGTGACATTGAAAATTTTTCATAACTGCATTTATCAGTATCTTTTGGTAGCTAAGAATTTGAAAGATTCAGGGCAGTGTTAAATGTCATAAAACATTTTGACATGGTCAATTATAAAAACAGTTCTAAAATTTGTATATCTTAATCATACAATATGCTTTAGTGTTCACATTTCTCCTAGAATACAGATGATCTTATACTGATTACATAGTGGAAATGACTTTTTGGTAAAATATTGATGGCATAAATTTATGCTATAATGCAATTGTAAACAAAGTGACAGGTATAATTTTAGGAGGGCAAAGATAATCATGGAATACTGCCAATTAGTAATAGTTCATTACTTGGATAAGGCATTGCAGTATATCCCCCAAATCATATAGTGTTTTAAATTATCAGGCATTAGAAATAAAGAATAAAAGAAATTTTTCTCTATAAAGACCAAAGTTTATTATGATTTCTTCTTGTTTTTTTTTAAGATTTTATTTATTTATTTGAGATAGTGAGTGAGAGAGCAGGAGCAGGGGAGCAGAGGGAGAGGGAGAAGCATGCTCCCCGCTGAGCAGGGAGCCTGACATGGGGCTCGATCCCAGGACTCCCAAGATCACGACCGGAGCCGAAGGCAGATGCTTAATCAACTGAGCCACCTAGATGCCCCTGATGTCTAAAAACCTACTTAATATCAATTTAGAATTGAAATGCAATGGCACTTAGTACTAGGTTTTCATCCTTATATTTTTTGAGCATTAAGGACAAAGCTTTGGTTTTGGAAGTAAAGTTTCCTTTACTTGTATTCTGGGTTTGCACACCTTTTTCATTTTGAACATTTTGTTCCATCTTTATGTGAGGGAATGGTGAGGGGAAGGGAATTTCTTTTTTTAATATTTTAAATTTACAGAATTTCTGCATCTCTGTACAGTTAAGATGCTCTGTGACCTATCCTTTATTCTCCTAACTTGAACACCTCCTTCTCCAAACAGTCACTTCCAGGTAAACTAAGGGATAATGACTTGTATAAAAAACATAGATAAAACAAAGCAAAACAAAGTACATACTATGTTTTTTAAAATACCAGCTCCCCAATATGTTTTAAGATACATGTGTTATATGGTGTGAGATACACTGTGGAATATGGAATATTGGTTATTATAGCTGCTGTAGCAACTTCTCCATGTTAGGGATATTGTTTATCAGTTACAACATTAATTTTTCTCTACTTTAGAAAACTGTTTATCAGTTACAACATGTCATTTACAACATGAATGACAACATCCATTTATCAGTTACAACAATAAAGTAATTTTCTGACTTTAAGTTAAATCACATAATTGATTATGCTTAATATATATAGTTTCTATAGGCTGGTGATTTTTTAGAAACAACTAACACCAAATACAGTAATTAGATTGTTAACTATAATTGTCAAAACTGAAATATATTTTTTTCTGCTTTTCAGGATAAGATTCTATGCTTTAATATTCAGGCATTTGTGAATTGATAATCTAAACTTTATAATTTTATGAGCCCACCCCTACTTAGTATTTTCAAATAAGTGATATCACTGAAGGCATAAAAGCAGAAAAATAATTTGTTTTAAAAGAAAGTATACACAAGAGCCTGATGAATAGTTTTTGTTCCTAGTGGTTTATAGTTAACATATCAGGCTAGGTTCAAATTGATTATGTAAATGTGACCAAGTAAAATGTCATGTTATTAGTTGAAAATATACTGCTTAAAAAAAATGGAGTCTTCTACTTGTACAATCTTGGTCGTTTAATTTTGCTGCTACTCCTAGTGACTGACCAAGAATGGGCAGAAAGCTAGGATTAGCTAGTTCTCCCCTTTAGACCTTTAAAGTAGAGACTTTTATTTTTGGTAAAGAGTGGTATATCTTTGTATTAATTATTTAATAGACAGTTAAATAAATTGCATCGTTGTGGTGAGAGAAAGAATATAAATACTAATTTTAGAGAAAGACTATAAAGGTAGTTTTCATTTCTTTGCATATTTGTATTTTATTGGACTTGAATATTAGTTGACATGTAATTAATGCTATAAAATTACATTAAAGTATTGTTGAAGACTCATGCTATAAACACTTTTTTTTTTTACTCTGCAATATTTTGATTAAAAAGGTAGCTAAGGGGCACCTGGCTGGCTCAGTTGGTAGAGCATGCAATTCTTGATCTCAGGATCATGAGTTCAAGCCCCATGTTGGGTGTAGAGATTATCTAAAAATAAATAAATAAATAAAGCACAACTAAAAATATTTGAACAATTTTTTTTTTCTTTTGGCAGTTGCTAATTTGTCCTCCTGTTACTCGGTTTTTCTATGGATTCAAGGAACACCTCCACAAACTATTAATTCAGGGTGATTCTTCAGGAAGATTGAATATTTGGAACATATCAGACACACCTGATAAACAGGAAGGTAAAGAAGATAGTAATAAATCATGTGCAGCAATTTCTTAATTCTTTTAATTTAGCAACCTAAATACTAACCACTGTATAATAAATTCATAATGTACATATGTCATTGTATTCTTCTTAGAATTATAGTTTGTGACAGTTCCTTGATATGTATTACTGAATCAACCATAAGTACATTTATTTTAATGTTTAATTTTTTTCTAACATGGACAATTTTTTTTTTTTTAATACAAAACAAAACCTCTACAGAACAGAAAATGACAACTTCTGTTAGTTTGCAAGAGGCATTTGATAAACTGAATCCTTGTCCTGCTGGAATTATAGATCAGCTGAGTGTGATTCCCAGTAGTAATGAACCTCTTAAAGTAACCGCAAGTGTGTACATACCAGCACATGGACGACTTGTCTGTGGCCGTGAGGATGGAAGCATCATTATTGTGCCTGCCACACAGACAGCCATTGTACAGCTGCTGCAAGGGGAACACATGCTCCGAAGAGGTATACTGAAGATCTGCCAATGTCTAACATGTTTTGAGAACTCTGTAACCATGACATTGACAGTATTTGCCCTCTTTGTTTGTAACAAGTACAATGAATCAGCTTAGTTGTTAGTGTGCTGAGTTGGTAGAATTTAATGCCAGTGCAGGTAGGGAATACTTAGTACCTATTGCTGGAATATATACCGTGTAATGACTATATGTAAGAAGTATCTGATTTTACCTCTTGATATGTAATAGTTTCATTTATTATTAGTTATCTCTATAGCTTACTTAAGTAATTACCATGTTATCGGTAATACTGCCAGTCTTAGAACAGTGCTGTCCAGTAGAAATATATATAACAGTATGTGATTTTCTATATTCACATTAATGTAAAAATGAAGCAGATGAAATCAATTTTAATAATGTTTTATATAACCCAATATAGCAAAACTATTTTCAACTTGTAGAATTGAATAAAATTTCAATTTTACAATATAAAATCAATTGCAGTCAATATAAAAAATTACAAATGAGGTATGTTACATTACTTTTTTGGGCTAAATCTCTCAAACCTCCTCTGTATTTTACAGCACATATGAGTCTGCGGTAGCTACTGTATTGGACAGAGTATTTTAGAAGATAAAATTAGAAGTTTTTTCTATGATAAAATTTATAGCTGTTCTGACAATTCATGTTTGCTTTTATTTGTTGAAACTTTGTAAGACTTTAATTTTCCCATTTTAAATCCAAAACCTTATTCACAGGTTGGCCACCTCACAGAACCCTCCGCGGTCATCGGAACAAAGTCACATGTTTGCTATATCCTCATCAGGTCTCAGCTCGTTATGACCAAAGATATCTGATATCTGGAGGCGTGGATTTTTCAGTCATAATTTGGGACATATTTTCTGGAGAAATGAAACATATCTTCTGTGTGCATGGTGGTGAGATTACTCAGCTTCTAGTTCCACCTGAAAACTGTAGTGTAAGTTCACCATAAAGATTATTTTATTGTGGTAGCTGTGAGTTATATTGCTATCAGGAATAGAATCTAGAGTAACTTCAAGGAAATGTGATGAAAGAATTAACAAAACCCTTTCAATTTTAAAACTAGATAATGTGAATATATAATATTTAAGCAAAATTATAATTATTTACTGTTGAGCACAGAAATAGAAGATGCACATTCTTGTTTTTTCCTGTTACTTCTAAATAGTATGGCTTGTCTCTGAAACATAGTAGCAGTTTAGAATATGTTTATTGAAGTTTCAATTTTCCATTTTAAAGTAGTTTTAATATTCACAAAGATATTCTGCAGTCTCATTATTTTCAGCTTTATCTGAGCAAAAAGATAGTGAATGTATACTTTGGTAGAGGCAGAATACTTACCAACACTTATTAATAGTGTTTGTTTAAATAAACACTTACTGTAACAAGGGAAAGTATAACAGTCACTGATAATGATTTTGGAAAATTTTGTACATACTTTTGTGAAAGCAGATTGCTTTCTTACTGATGGGTGTGTAGTGATATCAAAAAGCCAATTTAGGAATATGAGGCTTGAGGAGGCTTTAGGACTGCTAAATAACAGACCCATAATTTTTTCTTCATAATTTCTTTTACTGTTTGTTAATCTTGAACTTTTTCTTGTGATTAGCCAACTTTGTGTGCACAATCACTATTTCCCAGCATTCACATATGTGTGCATGTGCATACTAACACACACACTGTTGTCTTATACCCAGGTTTCATGTTTATCAAAATCCCTTCAGCTTCACAAGTTATGGTCTTACTGAAATGGAAAAGCATTTTACTTGTGTATCTGATGCAGTGTTCACAAGGTGTTTCATTTCAAAACCCAAGAAATTTACTTGGTCTTCCTGCTTAGTTACTTAATCTTCCTGGTAATGTATTTTATCTGCTGTGTTCTGCCAGAGCTAGATTTTGTTTGGTTTGATATTGGTGGTGTTGTAGGAGGTCCTAGTGACAGTTGTCTTTTTCTTTTTTCTGCCAGACTTGAAATTTTTTTTTTTATTTCTAAAGATTTATTTATTTGTTTATTTATTTATTTATTAGAGGGAGCGAGAGCTGGAGTGGCGGGAGGGGCAGAGGGAGAGGGAAAGAGAGAATCCTCAAGCAGACTTCCCACTGAGCATGGAGCTGGATGTGGGGCTGGATCCTAGGACCCTGAGATCATGACCTGAGCCGAAATCAAGAGTCGAAATCCAGAGCGACTGCTTAACTAATTGAGCTACTCGGGTGCTCCCAAATTCAGGTTCTTAATCATTCTCTTCCTTCTTTCTTCTTCCTGCCTTTTCCTTTCTTTTCAAATTGGTTGTTAGTCTTTTATCTCCATCACTGTAAACAGTTGCTATATGTTTATTTAAACAACCAATCTTATGTCTATTTTAGTGAAACATACCATCATAATTGCACTTGTAAGTTATAGCGCTGTTACAACCTGTCCTGAACTTCATTTTTTTTTTTTAAAGATTTTATTTATTTATTTGAGAGAGAAAGAATGAGAGATAGAGAGCACGAGAGGGAAGAGGGTCAGAGGGAGAAGCGGACTCCCTGCTGAGCAGGGAGCCCGATGTGGGACTCGATCCCGGGACTCCAGGATCATGACCTGAGCCGAAGGCAGTCGCTTAACCAACTGAGCCACCCAGGCGCCCCTGAATTTCATTTTACAGTAGTTATGCCCTATAGTGAAACATGAGAATTTTTGTTGTTATATAAAATATTAGAGAAATATATAGAGATTTTTGTTGTTATGTAAAATATTAGAGAAATATATATTTTAAATTATAAATATGACTAAAAGTAAAGTTTGGAGTGGTTTACATAAGATCATGTTTTCTGTTTGAACTTACATTAATATATACTTTTTTTAGTTTATATGTTTGTATGAGAGCGTTCTTTGGTTTCTTTTTTAAAAACGTCAAGTAGAGGGGCACCTGGGTGGCTCAGTAGGTTAAGTGCCTGCCTTCGGCTCAGGTCATGATCTCAGGGTCCTGGGATCGAGCCGCACATCAGGCTCTCCACTGAGTGGGAAGTCTGCTTCTCCCTCTACCTCTGCCTGCCACTCCCCTTGCTTGTGCAGTCTTTCTGTCAAATAAATAAAATCTTTAAAGTGGATATATAATATAATAATTTTTTTTGATCAGTTGCATTTAGAAATGATTTTAACGGACCTAGTAGACATGTGCAGCTACATACGGAATGGGCTCCTGACTAGACAGGGGCTGGCCCAGGTGCTAGTTGCCTGGCTAATAGGAGGAAGAAAGACACAGACAAGGAAGTCTGGTACTTGGAAAATAATGTATGACTTATAATTTACTCAGAGACTTAATGATAGAAATTCTCTTGTTTTTAATTGACATTCAAAAATATGGGTGGCTTAGTCGGTTAAGCGTCGGCCTTCGGCTCAGGTCATGATCCCAGGGTCCTGGGATCAAGTCTCACATCAGGCTCCCTGCTCAACGGGGAGTCTACTTTTCCTTCTGCCCCTTCCCCCGCTTGTGCTCACTTGCTCTCTCTCACTGTCTTGCAAAAAAAAAAGTACCAATTAAAACAAACTTGCTTTTAGCTTTGTGATAATTTAACAAGTACTGACTGCCTGGTTAATAACCTTTTCATTTAGCTGGTGGTGTCGAAAGGTCAGAGAGCCTCAATGATTAATAAAAAGCTAAGAATTTGATATTTGCTAAATGTTTAGCAAATGACTATCTTGCTGAGGTTAGAGTTAATGACATATGAAGGGTCCAGTGCTCGGGTTGTCCCTTTCATAAATTGATCTAGTGTCATTTTCTTTTAGCAGAAACTATTTTTAAAATTGTGATCTGATCATTGGAAGATTATAAGTATTTACCAAACATAGTGATTAAAGATAAATATTGAGGGGCGCCTGGGTGGCTCAGTCGGGTGAGCGGCTGCCTTTGGCTCAGGTCATGATCGCGGGGTCCTGGGATCGAGCCCCACATTGGGCTCCTTGCTCAGTGTGGAGTCTGCTTCTCCCCTGCCTGCCATTCCCCCTGCTGTGCTTGCTCTCTCTCTGTCTCTCTCTTTCTCTCTCGCTTGCTCTCTCTGTGTCAAGTAAACAAAAAATCTTAAAAAAAAAAGGTAAATATTGAAAAGTTTGTCATCTGCTTTTTGGATTAGAATAGAGTTTTGGTTTTTATCTTAGAATCAGAAAGTTGAGTTTTGCCTTCTTGCAATTTTTTTTTTCAGGAAAAGGTGTCCTAAAACAGAGGAATATTAGTTGTGTTTTAAAATTTACTTAAATTATAATAAAGAATGTTTAAGATTGATGGTTTTTCCTTTATTTTGTAGTCATTTTGTGTTTACCAACATAAAGGTTTTAAGTACTAAGTGAATCCTCGTGCCTTAGCTTAGGGAGACAGCGAAGAAGGAATGAGATCCTATCTGTAGGTAGAAGGATGCTGCAGGCAGCTCTGAGGCAGACGGTATGTTCCTTCACAACTCCACATACATGTCTTCAGGAAACTGAAGTAAAATGACTTAAATAGTATCTGAATTATACAACATAGTGTACAATTCTATACCGTTTTTGTTTGTCATTCCAAGTTGTGTTTATTGTTTTTAAAAGAGTGGTTTTCACTTTGTGTATTGCTATTCAGAAGTTAAAACTCTCAGGAAGTTTTAATAGGATTCAGATTTAAAGTGGAACCCTTATATTATTACTAAAAACTTAGATTGCCACTTTAAATATTCATATAGAAGACTTTTTAGGAAAATCTGTTTTAAAAATAAGCTTGCTAAAATTTTGAGTTTTTTAATTTTAACTTTTCATCTGCACTGACAATATTGCTTACTGTTGTGTCTTAAAATTATTTTATAAATAGGTATACAAAATACAAAATCTTATTAGCGAAAAGCAATTCTCCCTTCTCCCCTGTTCTCCAACTGTGTGGTTCCCTTAACTTGGTGTGCAATATCTTGGAATCCTTCAGAGATTTTCAATTTCTAAAGTTTTAATACTTTAGAAATGTAGCACCTTAGCTAAATCTTATTCTAATAACTGAGAAATTTAAGCAATGTAGAATGGTTAGAGATAGAATGCTTTCTACAATTTGGGTAGCTGTCGGAGTTAGGCTTTGGTGAATTTACAAAATCTGAGCTGTAGGCTAGGGGAGACCAAAGCCTGAACCAAATCCCTGGGCAGTTTGCAGAAGAGCGCTCTTGAAAGGGAGGGCAGATTTCTTAAGGCTTCTGGAGCACTGCAGCAGGAAATTGCCTCCAAGTCTCTGGCATTAGGATTAGTAGTTCCAGTTGAGGATGATCTGACCTCTTCCCTTCACCGCCCTGTCAGCTTCCCCTCTTATTCATCATTCTTTTTTTTTTACGATAGCTTCCAGTATGAAGGATTCCATTCTCCAAGATCCAGGAACATTTTCTTTTATTTCCACATATTTTAATTTTGGAGAAAGAAACTAGACTTTGAAAAGACTAAGAAAATAATTTTAAAATGTCAGGAATGCTTTAAAAAAACATTTTCCCTAATAAACCAGACAGAGATTATTGACAGGCATGAAAATGCAGAAATTAAAAACTAACTCTAGTGACCCAGTGGAATATTTCTTCTTTTTTTTTTAAGATTTTATTTATTTATTTGAGAGAGAGAGAATGAGAGAGAGCATGAAAGGGAAGAGGGTCAGAGGGAGAAGCAGACTCCCTGCTGAGCAGGGAGCCCGATGCGGGACTCGATCCTGGGACTCCAGGATCATGACCTGAGCCGAAGGCAGTCGCTTAACCAACTGAGCCACCCAGGCGCCCCCAGTGGAATATTTCTTACCTGTAGAATGGTACCGATGTCTTTGCATGGAGCTATCCACGTTTCCTCGTTGACCTGAACGTGCCGCAGGTGGCTGCATTTAGAAGTACAGGCTGTGACATGGAGCTTTTGTGTGTGTGACACAGTAAGATACCGTCTCTTTACATTTAAAAAACACACAAGTCCATACT